ATGTTGACGTGTTCAATATTTATTTTACCCTCTGTATTATGATGTGATTGTGATGCTGTAATTCTGAGTGTTTTATGTGCTGCAGAACAGGAACCTGCTGTAAAACAGCAATTATACTGAGTCAGGCTTGATTTTTAGTAATCTTTTCCTGTTGAATCAATAAATCAAATCAAATCAAATCAAAGTTACACACTTGAATGCACAATTAGATCGTCGCCCATTGTGATTGAATTGATATACAGTACAAGTTTGTTAGGAATTTGTATCTGCATGCAAATGAGACCAAACTCTATCAGACTTAAGGGCCCAACATGGTCAACAGCAGTCAGGTGGTGGGAGCAGGTTTGTCTTCGCACTCATCTTTGATAGTCTACAAGTCACATGGCGGAGAGGTCCTGGGGAACCCCTCCCTGTGTGCAGCACCAGATTGGGTGTCTTCCCACTTAAGTMCTTACATCATCACTCAGAGAGAGCAACACACTTCCGTGGACAGGGCCTACGGTATTTCCAGTCTTTATAATATGTTAACCGTTGTAGATGAGTAGTTGGAGCAAATACACAACACTGCTGTCCGAGCTCTTTTACGCAACTACATCATTGAGTAGATTTCAAAGGATGGGATGGACCATGCAGAGGCCTTTAATATCTCTTGTAGTTTATTTAATACTTCCATTATGTTAAATGGTTTCTTATATTAGGCATATTTTAATTGGGATTGCAAGAAACTGTAACRTTACTTTGTAGTCAAAGCACGCATAGGAGACCAGTTCAGATTTTAGACTTGAACATTTATTTGCAGAAAATAAAGCCATACACAACCTTTCAGCAGGACCAAATACAGGCTTTTTTCAGTCTCAGAGTTTTTGGGCCCAAACCAAAATTATTGCACAGGTTTAATACATTCTCCTTCTGGATCGAGCCATTCCCACCGGGGCAAAGACGTCACATCGATTGGGAGAGCCCTCTCGTTCCTCCAGCAGCTCGGTCCGTTAACAGAAATCCAGCAATCTAATGAAAAAAAAAACCTGTTGTTTAGTKTGAGGTGTGTTTTAACTGATCTGTCCCTTTATAAGTGCTGTCTGTTCTGAGATGACCCGTGTCGCTCACATCAGAATGTACACCACTACTTAATCACAGCTTTAATATAAACTGATTGCACTTTGGTTATAATATATTTCAACTACAAATATTCATTTGTGAAATGCATTTAAGACTCAATAAGAAACAATAGAGTCCTCACATAATGTTACCGGATGTTTTTTAAGAGCTGTGTGAGAGTATGTATACAGGTATTACTGTTTAAAATAATCAGTTTCACCTTAGTGTTTTAGGTATAACTCCAAATAAATAATTATTTTCAGAAAATTCTGAGGCTCAAGAGTAATTTTTGCAYGAGATCTTGGCTTCCATAATATAGATCAACAAATTTTATTTTGAATGGCAACACCTTWCACAGCAAAGAGCAGCTCAAAATGTAGCAACCTTAGTGGCTCAGATTTAATGATCATGCTCCACAGAAATTGTACTTTTTTTACATTTTTAACACGGATATTGAATTACTTAAAACAATCTGATAACACAGTGTGAGTAAAAACCTTTGATAGGTAAATGTTGCTCGCAGATTTATCTGCCTGTCTACCCCTTCCTTCACCATTAACTTTTTTTTATCAAGCTGGAGAAATTGGTTTTTCAGGCTCTTTCACACTTACATTACATTTTCAATCCTCTCATCTCCCACTGTCCTCACATGATGTGTTTTCTCTCTCGGCTCGCATGTGTGTGAGTGTGTTTTTTTTTTTTTTGAATGTTAAAAAAGGAAGATTTGTGTTATACTGGTGGGCTGACATGGTAAACAACCCTTGCCTATCTGTCTGTCTGTCTGTTTTCCAACAATGACTCAGAGTCACTCACTCAGATATACACAATCAGTCAGCCTGCAAGTCAGTGAATTATCCACAGCTACTAATGGTCCTTCCTCAATCTCCTTCTCATTGTCTCCCCACACACACACACACACACACACACACACACACACACACACACACACAGAGCAGCCATCCTCTGTGTAATTTAAATGACTGTCAGGTCAGTGGCGAGAGCAGCACCTTGCCACGTTAAAAATGCCAGGCGGCTGCCATCGTCACCGCCAACAAGCTGCCCAAACTGTCACACACTCGCACACGTGTGGACACGCGCGCGCACACACACACAGAGCTGTCAGCCACCGGTCACAATGCATTTACTTAGTGACAGAATTCTAATTAGTGGTCTGGATGGTGTCACCTGACTCGGAAGGAGAGAAGGAGCACGATTTGAATGGTGCAGGTGAGGGAGGGGAGGCTGGAAAACGCGGACAAGGGAACTGGAAGGGTTGGAAAAGAGAGAGTGGAAGAAGAGAGAAACTTGGAGGCGTAGTTAAAAAGATTGAGAGAAACAATTTTTTACCTTTTTTTTCCTCTCCTCTCTTGGTCACATTTACATGAAATGCCTCAGATTTCCTCCCACGAGTGAATAAAACATTCCCAGCAAATGGCCACACACCTAATTGCCACATGGATAAGGGTGCTTCAGTTTAACCCCAAATAACCAACGACACAGCTGCACCCTTCACTCTGACATGTCTTCACTGGAAAACACAAGGAGAGGACGGAGAGGGCATGATGGGAGTCTGATGAGAGGATGTACGGGATGCACCCGGACAAATATTTAGAGCACAACATTCCAATCATCTCTATGTCACAGTACTGACAATAGACTAAAAAAGAAGCACAAAATGAATATAAAATTGTTGAATATGTGCTGTGTGGGTATGTTTGTAGCAAACTGTCAGTTGTTTTTTATCACATGCCTCCAGAAGGCAAAATACGGTTGATAATATATCTGTCTGTGTCTCTATGGATTTGTTGATAAAATATCACATGAACCACTTGATGGACTTTAATGAAACTCAAAAAATATATTTTGGATTTACAGCTGATTCACCTTTATCTATTTAAGATGGCTGTCACAGCTAATCAAACAAACACAACAATAGCTATTTTTACATGCACAAAATTATTTGATTGCATTGAAATGTGTTTGGATTAAATAACCCGAAAGTATCATAGACACAAAAATAAGTAATACAATCATGACAAGCATCCACAGGCACCAGGCTTTTCTTCAGAGCAGAAGTACTAATATACTCAGAGTTGTAAAGGTCCCCTTAAAAAACACAGACATTCTACTACYGTGATGAACATAAACAAACGTCAAAATAAATAAACGCTGAAATAACGCCATATTCTTACACTTTCGACCATCAAAACATTTGATCATTTTGACCTTTTTTCAAAGTTTCTAATATAAATGGTGCAACACTAACTGACCAATTTTGCTTCTCCGACATAGTATTAGCATCTAGCTAGGTGGAAATGCGTCAGGTTGACACGGGGTGCACATGCACAGCCAAGTCAGTTTTCTACAACCAGAACTACATACTGCATAGCGGTAACATAATGACCCCCGCGCACACAAATGCACCAGAACTCAGAAATCTATTCCTAATAAATGTCATGCAATAGGTGCATCTCAAAATCGTAGTGGTTTGGATGTTTTGTTTTTTTGTTTTTTTTTTTGGGTGGGGGGGCATTGGTTGACCTGATGCCCTTCATTAGAGCTAAACAACAAAAGAAATCTGAAGCTCCTATATTTAATATTTTTTGAGCAATAGCCATTTTTGTATGTCCAGGCACCCCTTTTTCAGAGAAATTGGGGGTCCCGGGGGGTGGGGG